TGCAACATTGACGTTAACAAGAAAATGTTAACGTGCGCTCTTGAATCTCTTAAAACTGAAGTATGCCACCATAATATCTAAAACATATATAATTAGAAGGGGCGTAGCCAGGTGTTCTGTGTATTGGGGTACCAAATGTCGTATTGCAGTTTGAACTGTTAAATTGTTAACGTTCGAATTTAAAATAAAATATTGGGCCACTAAACATAAGTCTCCCTTAAGGACGTTCGCGCTAATTGTTTCTGCGCATCCTTACTGCGCACGAATTTCACATGCCACGTCATGCATCGAGCGCGCGCGCTAAGTAGTAAAGTGAAGAATAATAGGGCAAATGGCCATCGCTTTGACTTTGCGTGGATTTTGGGTTAAGGTCTCTGAAAATAATGGAAATATTTGAAATTATGAACGCCACAGATTCACTTAGGATAGTTTGCCACTGTTGACTTATCTTTGATATTTTAACCTAAAGAACTTGGAGAGCATGCTGAATTACGCGCACCAATTTATCAAAATCAGACTAGTTTTCCACACGCCTTATCTCTGAAACGAAGCCGGTGACCCCCTATTTTTATTTCATTTCTGAAACAAGTAAGTCATCAGTCTCACTGTAGTAGAAGTTTAAAAAAAATCTATCGAGTAGAAAATTTACGCGCGAACGTCCTTAAATAAAAACACTCTATAAGCGACTTGAAAATTACTATTTAAGAAGATTATAATTATTTATTATAGAGCTGGTTGGTTAGTCGAGAATTGTAGGGGTATGATGGCGATAAAATTTGCCATGATTTGCGTATGGTCTCCTCCTCTCCACTGCCGCCACATTCTCTCGTCGAGGTAGGATTGCAGATCTTCTCTTCTCAGCCCCTTTCTCTGTTTTTGCCCGAGTTTAAGCTGGCTCCAGCAAGACTCCACCTCCTGTGTATGCACTCCAGTGCGTGGATCGACGAAATTGTGGGCGTGCACGACAACTCTATGTCTGCGGACGCTTGGAAGTTGCATTATTCGTCTGTATGCCCCCCAATCGTCTGTATGGATTTCACTACCGGGCAGGACGCATCTATTGATGATCGGTAGAAGGGTGGCCGCATTTCTTCTCTCGACAACCTTAAAGTAACCCCGCGCGGGACTATACTCTGTGGTTATGATGCCAAACACCCACGAGTCACGGGCTGCTCTCCTTCCCCTGTTATACTGGAATAAACAACCAAAGTAAGTTTTGTCTCGGCCGCTTTTTTCTTATAGAGTTTTTGAAAAAGATTATCCTTTAAATTTGTGCTTATCATTTTATTAGTATTTGACGGTCTTTATGTGCATTACCAAGATGTTACCCATCGAACGTTAAGAACGGTTGTGTGCATTATCTCCGAATTGAGATTTTTTTGTGCATTTAATAAACGACGATAGGTTAACCGATTTCCAGTCAAAACGAAACAGCTTTTGGCAAAATTAAAACGACTTTCTCCGGAGCGGTTTCTAAAATTAAATTAAGGTGAAAGAAAGTTTACGCGACAATCCCAAAAGGTGTCGTTGGTATTTTTAACTAATTTTTAGCATAAAAGAGGGGACGAGACGCTATGGTCGTATATTCACCGGTGATAAAAGAAAGTCACAAAAGTTAGTTGGACAACAATAGTGGCAAGAGCGGTAAATTGTTCATATATCCCAAATTTCCTTTCTGGATTTTTGCGTGCGTTTTCTTGAGATAAGGTAGCTCTATAAGGATCAGTTTGGGTTAAGTTTATTACCTTGGATTTATGGTTGAACTTGCTTTCGTCGCACTTTATAACAGCTCCGGGTCCTCCAAACGGTAGGATTGACCTGTTTTCGAGATCCACTGAGCACAGATCTTGTAGTCGCCTATAAATGCGAGAAACTAAACTTCGGCTTAAGGCAAGCGTTTCCGCAATTCTACGTTGTGACTCCTCGTGCACGAAGGAAAACATTACGCGAAGAAGCGTTCCCAAAGGGATCTTCGGGAATTCAACGAAAAAGCTGTTCGTTCGCAAGCTTCGTCTTTTGCGACACCCACTACATCTCCTAATAAAACAAAAAGAAATACACGCTATTGCTAATTGACCTATGCGCCCCGTTCCCGTAAGAGAGTCTAAACATGATTTATGTTCACTGTTGCAGTTTTGGTCCCTGCCGTTTTTTTTTTTAGAGGTACGACATCAATTGTTTTGGGAATTATTTAACGGATGTGGCCATTTATGCTAGAAATTCCTTTTTTAAATGGCCCGAGAAATGGTGATTCTACGAATACAAGGGCTCATGATATGTTTGCATGATCGAGACTCTACATTTTTTCTTCTCAGGGTTTCAGATTTTTAATTCTAATTTTAATTCTAGTTACGCCAGCATAGAGAAAAAACGTTCGAAGAACAAGTAAGAATGATGGAAATTTTCTGTTTTCTCTATTGGCTAAAACAGTTAGCATAACTTTGAAGGCGCGTCATTATTTCTTGTTCAAGTGTAGCGTTCGTTTCGTGTATAAGCAATTTTATAGTAGACTACATTAGATTTCACGTGAATCGCACTGATTCAGTAGATGCAACTCTGTACTCACCAAAGAAACCCGTCTACATGTTCGCCATTTCTCTCGGTTAATTCCATCGCGATATTACACTGCGCACACCAAAGAGGATCTGCTATCAAACGTCGCCTTTGGAGCCATCGAACCAAAGCAGATCGCGGTCCTCTTTCCAAATCAATAAACAAATTCAAATTCATATCGTAATGCCAAGCACGAATTTCCAATACTGATCAAAAGCGGATTTTGCAATGTTCAGGTTGAAGACTCCAGTCGGTCTAACGAGCTACAATACACGTTCGCCGAATCACTGTCGCACCTCAGCTCTTTTGTGATGCAAATTTCACTTCCATTCAAAGAAGTCGATCAGATTTCTTGCCATATCGCCGAATTGTCATATTGATTACATTTGGACGTACATAAATAGAGAAAATTCATTGTTTGACCTCAATTAATACTCTGTTTTATTTATAAGGACTGTATTTTTCTATCTAATGGTATTGTTATAGCCCAGAGAAAGCCTTACTTATCCTTGAAATCTAACAGGTGAATTACGTCACGCGCCTAGAAATCGGGAACTTGCCCAGTAATCACGCACCACCTTGCGATTTCCGTTCTTTTCATTTATCAGGCTTCACACAAAAACCCTCT